CTTGGGGGGTCTGGGGGCCTTCTTGGGGCTCTTTTGGGATGCCAGAGGGGCCTCTTGGGCCCGCCTTAGACCCTTTCGCTAAAAAAGAGGGGGGTCCTCATTCCCACCGCCCCCTCGGAGGCTCACACATTCTGTCTTGGTGCCCTCGTGGCCCGCTCTTGGAGTGCTCTTGGGCGCTCTTGGTGTCGTCTTGGGGCCCTCTTGGGCCCATCGTGGGGCTATCTTGGGCCGTCTTGGGGCCATCTTGGGGCCTCAAGAGCCCATCGGAGGCGAACGAGCGAGAGGGCAAAGCACATTGATGTTCCTGAGGTGTTTGAAGGATGTTGGCCTCTTGGGGGGGGTCCTCGGAGGGTTCGGAGGGCACTTGAAACCGTCTTGGGGCAGTCTTGCGGCATCTTGGATGCGTGTCGGAGGCTATCTTGAGCCATCTATCGCTATATTGGGCCATATTGGAGGCCATCTTGCGCTTTCTGAGGCCCTCTTGGAGCCATCTCGGGCCATCTTGGACGCTGCTATGGGTCGCCCCCCCCCCCCGTCCAAACGCAGGGGGGGTAAACCTCCCGAGCAGGGAAAGAAACGAGGTCGGAAAAGGAAGCGCCCTAGACCACCTGCGCCCAGAGGGCTGGTGGGATTACGGGAAACGCAATTCCAGCCCATTGAATGCGGTTTTCCCAGTGAAATTGCGTCCCCAATAATTCGGAGGTTTAATTCTGGGAAGCCGCGTTTCCCGAATTTCGGAATTCGAATTATGGGAACCGCAATTCCAGCCCAATGAGTGCGGTTTTTCAAAAGGAGATTGCGTTTCCCATAATTCGGAATTATGGGAACCGCAATTCTGGCCCAGTGAGTGCGGTTTTTCCCGGGAAGTTGCGTTCCCCATAATTTGGAATTCGAGTTGTGGGACACGCAGTTCCAGCCCATCGAGTGCGTTTTTTCAAGGGAATTGCGTTTCTCATAGTTCGGAATTCGATTTCTGGGAAACATCTTTTCTCGAACATCGGAATTCAAATTATGGGAAACGACATTCCAGCCCATCGAGTGCGGTTTTTCAAAAGAAAATTACATGTTCCATAACTCGATTTCCGTATTTCGGGGAACGCAATTTCCCAGAATTTGAACTCCGAAGTATGGGAAACGCAATTCCAGCCCATTGGGTGCGGTTTGTCAAGAAAAATCGTGTTTCCCACAATTCGGAATTATGGGAACCGCAATTCAGGGCCATCGAGCGTTTTTTGTTCACAAGGAAATTGCGCTTCCAATAATTCTGGAATTCGAGTTATGGGAAACGCAGTTCCAGCCAATTGTTTGCGGCTTTCAAGGGGGATTGCGTTTCCCATAACTCGGAATTTGAATTTTGGGAAACCGCGTTTCCCGAAATTCTGAATTCGAGTTATGGGAAACGCAATTCCAGCCCATCGACTGCGGTTGTTCAAAAGGAAATTGCGTTTCCCATAATTCGAGAGTCGAATTCTGGGAGACGCGTTTCCCGCGCAATGTGTCCTTGGGGCAGTCGTCCCGGGTCGCGTTTCCCTTAATTCGCCGTTTTCGTATTGTTGAAGTTGGGAAGCGCAAGCCTGGACGGCAGCCCCGAACTTCAGAGTGGAACTGCTTGCGGGCGCTGGCACTGGGGCCTTCGGTGGAGCTCCCTATGTGACCACGAGGCGTGTGAGGGGGTGTGCCGAAATTGCGGTGGAACTGCATGCGGGCGCTGCCACTTGGGCCTTCGCATGCTGCCATTGGGTCCCTCGTTGGAGCTCCCTACGTGGCCACGAGGCGTGTGAGGGGTGTGCCCAAATTGAGGAGATGGAGCTGCACGCGGACGCTGCCACTGTGGCCTTTGGTGGAGCTCCCTATATGGCCACGAAGCGTGTGAGGGGTGCACCGAAATTGACATGGAAACTGCATGCGGGCGCTGCCACTGGGGCCTTCGGTGACGCTGCCTATGGGGCCACGAAGCGTGTGCGGGGTGTGCCGAAATGGGGGTGGAACCGCCTGCGGGCGCTGCCACTGGGGCCTTCGGTGGAGCTCCATATGGGGCCATCACGCGTGTGAGGCGTGCACCGAAAATGGCGGGTGGATCTGCATGCGGGCGCTGCCACTGGGGCCTTCGGTGGAGCTCCGTGGGGGGCCGCGGACCGTGTCAGGGGTGCACCGACATTGCGGTGGAACCGCATGTGGGCGCTGCCACTGGGGCCCTTGGTGGAGCTCCCTATGAGGCCACGAAGCGTGTGAGGGGTGTGCGGAAATAGAGGGTGGAACTACATGCGGGCGCTGCCACTGGGGCCTTCGGTGCAGCTTCCTATGGGGCGACGAGGCGTGTGAGGGGTGTGTCGAAATGGCCGGTGGATCTGCATGCGGGCGCTGCCACTGGGGCCTTCGGTGGAGCTCCCTATGAGGCCACGAAGCGTGTTAGGGGTGCACGGAAATTGAGGTGGAACTGCTTGCGGGCGCTGCCACTGGGGCCTTCGGTGGAGCTCCCATGGGGGCCACGGAGAGTTGTACTTGGTGCAGAGGGCAGAGGCAAGGGATGGGAGGAGGGAGGAGGGAGGAGGGGGAAGAGGAGGAGGAGAGGAGAACGCTGGGCGCTGTCTCTTCATAACGAGGACCCCATCCTGGGAAACAAACTACATCAGGCGTTTGCGATCCTGACGTCGCCGACGCAGCGATGATGCACCGGCGATGCAGCGCGATCCTCCTGCCCGCTTTGGGCGGCCTCCACCAATCTGCATGAAGGAACTGGCATCCTGAGGGAAGCGGGGCTCAGACTTCAGGGGCTTTCAACAGAACCAGCCTTGGTGCCTGGCACGGCGGTATCATCGGCGGCGGCGTCGACGGCGGCGGCGAAACCGGGGGAGGCGGCGACGACAACGTTGGCAGCGACGGTGTCGGCGGCGGTGGCGACGGCGGTGGCGACGGCTGCGGCGGTGTCGGCAGCGAGGGGGCTGCCATGTGCGAGATGATGGTTGGGGCTGAACCGTGAAACGAGCCCAGGCTGCTGCTCCTCCTCGTCCTCCTCCTCCTCGTCCTCCTCCTCCTCCTCCTCCTCCTCCTCCTCCTAATCATCATCATCATCATCATCATCATCATCATCATCATCATCATCATCATCATCATCATCATCCTCATCCTCATCCTCATCCTCATCCTCATCCTCATCCTCATCCTCATCCTCATCCTCCTCCTCCTCATCCTCATCCTCATCCTCAT